TGTGAGTGTGAGTGTGAGTAAGAGAGAGAGAGATCCAGTGTAGGTGTGAGGATGTGTGAATCACAGCAGCGCTTTGACCAGGTACAGCTTCTCTCCATGTTCGCTGGTGAAGATGGGGGCTTTCTTGTAGTGCTCCACTAGTTCATCCATGGAGTTGAACCTGCGCTGGCCGATACAGAACACTCCGTCTGACTGCTGCACCTTAAAGTGCTTATTCTTACCGGCCGCCTTCAGAGACACAGAGAAATCATTGGGCTGAAAATAAAGAGGGGAGACAATTGTTGATATGGTGAGAAAAACGACAAGAGTGAGAGAGAAACACATGCAATTACATTTAAAGGCCGACTGATTTACTCCAGCAGATGGCAGTGTATTCTCACATTTAAAGATCTGGGCCCACATTGATCAGACTACTACATGTGAAGTTTATTTCATTTATTTTTACATTTTATATTAAGGTGGATTTTTTTATATTAAGGTTTCACACAAATAAATAAATAATAATTTGCCGAACAGAAATGACCAATAGGGCAGATGTAGGTTTAATTCTTGTGTCTTCCTGCTCTGAACATATACACTAATTATAATGTAATCAGTTAAAAGTTGCTCCTCTGACACGTCAATGTTAGTGGGAATGAGTCATTTGATAAATGTGTAATATTCTTTACTTTTAGAAAACATTTTTACTCCTTTAAGTTGGCTTTTAAATACAGGCCTGTAACATGTGCAGGAACTAATTGACATTTCTTTTTTTGCAACTACATTTCAAAACTCCGGTCTTCCTTCTACCAAAATGTATTATATCTCCTTTCCTTCCTAATTTGAGTGTGTCCCAGCCTTCATAACGCACCTCTGCCATGACGTCAGCCCACAGACTTACCGATGACTCGCTGTCTCGTACGAGGAAGTCGCCCTCCTCTCCCCTCTCGTTGAGTATACACTCGGCCTGGTGTCTGGTGACGTTGCCGTAGTACCAGTCCCTCCCGACGAACTTCCCCGAGCGTGCCGGTGCCACAAAGCGATTCTGCGGCGAGCTTGACGTAGAGGAAGGAAGATCTGGCAGCTCGTCCAGCACCGTCACATAGTTTTTAGGTACCAGGCCCACCATGCCACGCGAGTTCTTACACCTCCACCACTCCGGGTCGTTCTCAGGCTTCTCCACCACCTCCATGACCTCTCCCTTCTCAAAGTTCAGCTCTTCCTCGGTCACAGAGCTGAAGGGGTAGAGTGTCTGAACCAAGTGGAGCACTTCGACGCGGCCTCCTGCACGCCCGTTGGCCAGCAAAGTTCCTTGGGAGCCTCCGTGGTAGGCTCGTGAGGAATCTCCCTCCCCTCTGTCACCCGCGCCTCCGAGCTCCTCCTGGACGTAATTGGAAGGAAACCAGCCCACGCGGCCCGCCTGACTGCCCCGCCACCAGCCATCGCTGCACTTCTCCATCACGATGACCCTGGAGCCCTTGACCAGGGTCAGCTCGTCATCTCTCTCAGGTGAGTAGGCAAACTTGACCACAGCGGGGATGTTGAGGTCATAGATTCTTTCAGCGGCGCCTCCACCTCCGCCCCCGCTGCCGTTAGAGGGATACTCTGTGTCTGAGCTTGGCGTTGGGGAAGCATCACGCGCGCTTGTCTTTCTCTTAGTTTTTCCCAAACCTGCAAAATGAACAGAAACAGAAGAGAATGGTGACACAGGAAGAAAACCAGATTTATTATTCTCATTTGCTTGAAACCTGCATTAATCAATGTTTGGCCACAACCGTAAACACAGCAACGACATTTTATCACCTTATCACACTGAAATGGCAAGCATATTAGCAAACATACTTATTTACATAGACCAACATTAGCATTCATTTGGAATTGAGTCCAGTTAATGAACATAAATCCAATATTCACTCTCTTTTTAGGCAAGTTTGGGTCTTCTAAATGCTCCACTATGTTCACCAGCTAGATTCTGTCTGAGTCACTACAAGCAACCCCTTTCACAAATAGTCATTTGATCCATTGTTACTATAAAAATATTGATTATAGCAGCTTAATAGTTGTCAAGATTGAAAGCAGGTTTTAGAAAGCAGAGAAAGATGCAAGCTCCACGGGGAGAGGAGGCAGTTGAGGTCAGCAGGAAACTAATTGAGGCTGCAAGCAGCACTCACGGGCCCTCAGAAGCACAAAAACTACTTTAGAAAATAGAGGATACAGGATATCCTGTACAAAACCTCAGTGGTGAAGGACAGATCGATATTTCTGATAATAGAATTAACACACATACACTTTCACTGCCCGCCCCACGTCCCACGTCCCTCTGCTTATACCCAATGAAGTGAAAGCTCATTATCTACTTGGTATTCCGTCGACGCTACCTACACGTCTTATACACATCTATACTCATCAAAAGGCTGAAAATAGGTGGTGTAGACAGGGAATGGAAAGTGGAGCAGGCACCATGGGCTTGATTATGACAGGCACATCCAGGAACAAAGTCAGCTACTTCCTTACCTGTCTCTGACTTTTCCCATTCATGTACTTTCAAAGACGTCTTTAAACATGTGTTTGCACACTTAGTTTCTAAAGTCTCTCAGCTGAACGTAACCGGGGAGGTCTCCTCTTCAAATTCATCTTAAAATAATAATGATACACTATGCGGTTGACAACATTTAAACTTCTCACTTGACAGTTGTGGCTGATGTCAGCATATGCCCGTGTGTGCTACTAATAACTGAAGAGAGTTTCTTGACAGCTAATCACCCAGTTTTTTTTTCCCCGCAGAGTCTGCCGAAATGCCACAGAAATGTCATTGCTGAATAGAAAATTTGCGTTGTTTGGAAAATTGCTGGGTTCACAGAGAGTAGCATGAAACTTGTTGGCAGCAAGAAAAGGAAGAGGAGAAGGAGGACGGGAGTTGTTCAAAAAAAGACGAGGGGTCCCTTGGCAGCTGTTTCTCACACACACAGTAGACCAAGCACATCAGAGGCCACAGCTGACAAAAACGCAAAGCAGAAGGATGAGACAGGAATAATAAGCAGATCATGTTTATGTATATCAGTGTGCATCCTACATATCTGATAGTGTGTGTAGTAGTGTGTGTGTGTGTGTGTTGTGTTGTGTGCTTGGTCGTTGTGTGAGGGAGAGGTTAGAGAAAGAGAGAGGATTCTGTATGTCCTGACGTGTAAAGCCAAAAGCACAAAGGTGACTCTTGGACCTACTTCAGATAAGCCCTTAGAAAAATAAATAGACTGTTGGCTGCCCATGGGGTACAAGAGAACACACATAGAAGGCAGTTGAACATAGCACTCCCTAAGTGAAAACACATCACCACCACGACACGACACGACACACACGACACCTTTTCTTCTTCACTCATTTCACTTCAAGGCACTGGCCTGGCTGGTTAGAGCAGGCAGCAGCGATATTCCCTCCTCCCACCATATTCACGGCAAACCTCACCTACCTTCTTCATCTGTGGGGAAGGAGACTGATTTCAGCCCAGGAAGCGACTCAAACTCAGGGAAGAAAAGTGAGTTGCAATGAACAGCCTTCGATATAACAGCATTATGGCACTATTGCTCTCACTCTATAAGCTTACAGCGGAGTACTGTGGGAATTACTGTAAGTCCACACAGTACAGCGGCCACCCACCTTCACATGTTGAGTGTGTACAGTAATGAAAAAGCACAACCTTGGGCCCCCTAAATGAAGGATTAGCACTGTTGTCAAGAGGTGTAAATTGATTGTAAGAGTATTTTAAGTGGCATCGACAGATGATTTATGTGGGCCTTTAAATAACCCAGCAAGTTGTTTGTTTTTAATATTCCACAAGTGCTGCACGTCCTACTGACACTACTGGTGGTGTTGAAACCATACAAACCTGCTCACAAGAGTCCGAAAAAGACAATTGAAAAGAAATCAAAAAAAACGTTCAGCAGCCATTCAGCATTCTGGAGGCCACAAATTATGCTTGCAAATTAGAATTTGAGGTTTTAAATTACTTTTAAGCCGTCCCATGTGCTGCTGATGGATTTGTCTACAGCGTCCACTACAGAGTCGGGGAGAGCAAGGAAGCAACTCCCGACACAGTACCAAGGCGCCTGAAACAACCCTGAGTACGTACACATTCAGGTGTTTGGTGACAGTTCTCACATGGGCCGTCAACAGACCGATGCTGAGCGGCTGCTAACCGGTTCTGTGAGGCCATCCTTTGGGCACAGTTGTGTATTGAGGCTAAATGCTAACTTTACGTATGCCAACATCTCACACTGATGGATTGCTAAAATGCCTGAGCACTTAAAATATTTAGCCAATATGGTCACTACTGTACACAGTTCTCTTTACACAGGTGCACATTGTGCCTTCCTCTGCCAGCTTCGTGTTTGGGAGCAGACAGAATGGGGCTGTTTCATTCAATAAAAAATTTTTACAAGTAACTATGCCTTAAGAAATTACGTGTAAAATGGTCGCAGTTAGCTATCGTATATTCTGCTTTTTGACCTGAGGAGCGAGGACAAAAGTGCTTTCCAACGCCTCACATCACCCGACCACGCACTGATGGCGGCAGTTCTTGCCACTCAAGGTGTGGACAGGAAAGTCTAACTTGCGCAGTTCACGTGGTACTGAGTAACTGGCCCAATTTTAAGCAGTATCTCGCTGAATTCCTTTCACCCATTACGTTTTTAGTTCCTGTGGGGGAGAGGAAACTGGGCGCAGCAAAGAGCATGCAGCCGATTTACAACTTCAATCCTGCTGCCGATGGAGTCGATGATCGACAAAACCGCATTAATGGCACAGTATAATTAGGAGAGGAAAGCTGGAATGACAGCGGATCACGAGAATATTCTGCGAGGGGTCGACGCATAATCACGATGTAGACTTACAGAAGAGCTGAAAAAAGGAGAAAAAACAGAGCCAGACTATAGACGAGATGAGTAATCAATGCTCCTCAGCCAAGCAAATTCCTCTATTCAAGTGCGTGAGCACGAGTCCCATAAGCCCCTGGCTCACCTATTGCCTCATCACGCTTCATGCGATGGAAAACTCCTTCCGCCTATCGTGATTTTGCTGAGGCTTTCTACACATAAAGACTAACTGGGTCTGGAGGAAGACCTACTTAGATGAAATGGGAACTAGCACATAATGTTTTGTAGTTGAATGTAACATAGGGTGCACGAGAGAGGTAATCCATTCAGTCCAGCACAAGCCATTTAGGCTGCCGCATTATTCCCCACCAATCATCCACTGATCATTAGGAAAAGCACAGAACCTACAGTGACCAGAGAAACCGGGCTTGATGTTAAACAGTATTGAAGGGGGGGGGGGATACATGTTGTCTCTGAACACAATGAACCCTGGTGTGGGTGACAGTGGCTGGCTGTGCCAGGCTGGCCCACATAAAGCCACAGAGTTTCCCCGAGGGCTGGTATCCACAGAGCCGAGAGGACTCAGCACGTTAGACCAGAATCCCTTCATCTCTTTCACCCCACACCTCCCCATTCTCTAAATATGGCTGCCTTTCAGGGCCACACTGTTACTATATTTATTCCAATTGCACTTCTTGATCATTCTGTCTTGCTGGAATTTCTACCACATTTCTATTTTCTCTCCGTCTCGCTCTCTCATCCTGACAAAAAGTGGTAACTAATGCAAAATCTGTCAAAACAGATGAATTTCTGTGCCGCGCTCCATCCTGTGCTTTTCCTGCAACAAGAAAGTAGAGCAAGCTGATCATTTTTAGCTTAATTCTTTCATTCTTGACTTGAACTATATACCAACACATCCCAGTTTAGCTCTCATCTATAACTGATGCCATCTCATTCTGTCAAGGCTGCCTTCTGGTCGTCACATCTGCGTCTTCTGTACTGTATGGGTAATTAGAGGCTTAAGTAGCCGTCCCAATCATTTGGTGCCCCTATCGCCAAATTCAAAATCATAAAAATAAATTGGATAGTATGCTGTTGCCTGATAGTATAAGCTGGTTACGAGATCATTTGTCTCAATATCAGTCATAATACATTAAATTTTAATTTCACAATGCCTGAGTGACATAAACAGAGATGTTCTGAAGCCGCGGCTAAAGGCTGTGAGACGCGACAGAGATACCTGGGAAACTGGGAAAAGGTTAAAGCCGCTGCTCACGGACACATGGGGGGAGCTATGTGCGTCACACACAGTAGGCACTGCAGCTCTGGTTTTATGCAAAACAAAGAACAACCCATTTATTCTTTTTTAAAAATGCCTTTATGTGATCAACTGTCTTTATGTGATAAGTCATGTATTTAAATGTGCATCCAGTGTGTATCTGTGTTCTCTGAAGTTACATGTTAATCCTGTTTTACTGGTCGATTTTGACGGGGAAAAGGACACAGAGAAGTTTGTTACAAAATGAAGGAGAGACCTTTATAAAATGACTCCAGGAGCATATGAAAGCAGTCTCTTTGATGTAACCATTTAATTTTCTTAGATCATATTTATTTTTATAGCTGCCTATAAAAGAACTAAAAGCCTAATTTGTTTTTTGAGCAGCTTATTAACAGCCTGTTTAACTTTTCTTGTCTTAAAGTAGAAATAACTCTCTTTCTCTCTCCGTATCCATATATCATACTGCATGCACCGACAGTTCCTCTCCAAGTTAGCAGCTATGGCTACGTACACAGTCTAATGTATTCAAGTCATGACTGGAGACTGAGAGACAGTGTGCTGACAGCTGAGAGCAACGGCCAACTCAACAGGATCCCTGGAGTGCACAGTGACAGCTCCCGGCTAGGACAGAGACACAGCGAGGGCATCGTTTTACTTCTGAGAAGATTCAGGCTAACACACATGCGTGCACACAGACTGACCACCGTTCATGATCACATCTTATCTCCTCTACCAGGAACAGCTAGTGTTTAAAAAGACGTGCATTTTTCCACTTTTACTGAAGATCATCTACTGACAGGGACAACTTGTACACACGGCCGACCTTTTCATTTTAAACAGAGTGAAATTAAATTCTTCTTACCCAGTGTGTCTTTGATGTTCTTCACCAGCGAGCCTTTCTTCAGGCTGTTCTTGCGCTCGACGTAGTTCGACGGCACGTACCCCGTTTGGTTTGAGGCGTTGCGGACGCGCCACCAGGTCTTTGAGTCATCCAGGAGGAAGAGACGCTCGTTTTTACGGATGTCAAGTTCCTGGTCCTGCTGGGCCGTGTAGTCCCACTTGGCTACAACAATCACCTCCTCTGTCATCTTTCATGGAGTCCTCCTGTGGAGGAGAGGAGGACGGGGGTGAGCCAAGGAGTAACACACTTCACAAACTGCCACAGAGAGGTATGCAGCAGCTTCAGAGGGATTATTAGCACAGCAACAATTTCTCACAGGATAAACAAAAACAAGTGACAAACACTGCCACACCTTCAAATGGCCACTAGGGGTCAGATAGGTTGAACATGAGTACCTGAATGAATGATTCATTCATTATTAAGAAGTGTATGAATGAGTGACTGGCTAGATCCATTAGGTAATTTAAATTGATTAAAGAGGCAAATAATACAAAGTTATATTTTTTATAATAAACTGAGAACAAATTGGGCCGAATTCTTAATGTCGAGCATCAATTTTGAAACCTATTGCATAATATACCTATTTCTATTCATTTGTCTGTAAATGTATTACATTCAGTTTTGCTGTGACAAGTGACAAGTCATTGCAAAATAATCCATATCCATCCATGCACACAATTTTTAAACCGCTCATCCCAGCTCACATTAGGCATTAGACAGGATACACAGAAGACAGGTTGCCAGTCTATCACAAGGCTACATTACATAACCAAGCTAAATATGAGTTCATCGTAATATTCAGAGCCTCAACTGGCTAAACTAAAACTGATAATTCCTTGGATGAAGATTATGGCAAGATCTCAAAAGTTCTGACCGTGTGATCACCGCTCCACACACGCACATCCACAACACACCCGCATGATGAGGCAAACAGGTTTCAAGACAACAGGCACTCTACAATGAAACATTCAGGCCATAAAAAAAGCACCTCTGAAAAAGCTTCTTTGGTAAAGAACAGCACAAACACACAAAATCAATTTATGTTTTCATTCTGCATGCTCTCTCTCCCTCTCTCTCTCTCACACACACACACAAAGCTTTTTCCTATTAGTTTTTTTGAGACAGACAGTGAGCGATTACATGCTCTATTTCACCAGGCCATAGGTGAGGTGATTTGACATGGGTTTTCTGGACCACCTGAACTGCTGAGGAATTACATGCATCTGTTCATGAGACAGGCGAACAGAAAAAAGACTAAATAATGAGGAAAATGCATGAAGGGATCAGGAAAGTTTGACGTGATTTCATGTATTTCTGTTCTGTGAAAACTTTTTTTTCTGTGATAAAAGGCGTCTGACGGTATGAGAACCATGCAGGCAATCCGGTTTATATTTAGCTCGCCGCCGAGTTAACATTCTGTGGCTGGAAACAAGATCACTGGAATAAATAAAAAGAAATAAAAGTGGTTCAGATGAAAAGAAGCTCTTTGAAGATAACGGTGAGTTCAAAAGATACAGAATGAATAGTCATGTTTTTAAGCTTGTGTCAGCAATTGTTCAGCCTGAATAATTAAATAAAACTGTCTATTTCATATCTAACGTCATGCGAGGTTATCAGTAGCGGTTGTAGGACACTGATTTATGGGCTGCAACACCTTTCAATAGCTTAAATATCCTCTGCTACACATTACACATTACACATAATAGATACTTCTTAAAGAGCTGTTTGATAATGGTTAAGTCATTTATAAATAAAACACTGTGTTTCCGAATGAGAATCGCTGCTGAGTCACAAAACTGTTAAATGGAAAAAATAAACAGTACTGATAAATTTGTGCGAGAGAAAGCATGTGGCTGAGTCCATGAGTCCATTCATATTTATTAATACAGAGTTTTCCACTGGAAATAAGGAAAGAAAACACACAGTGACACATTTAAGATGCGGGGGAGATTGTCTACTCCCTTACTCATATTGTCATTTACATTTTATTCTTTAATGAGAGGGCAGCGCACAGATAAAGCGGAACCACAAAAGAGAATTATGACTCACGAGGAGTGTAGCTGCACAAATTAGACCATATAAAAAGATTCCATTACTGGTGGAAAGATTGATATCTTCTGTGGAGGCTACATTTTATAAAATGCAAATGGGAGCACTCTAAAGAGCTGGCTGGTTTTTTTTTTTCAACCAGAGATATTCAATTCCACTTCAATTAGGCCACAACCACAGAGACAGTGCAGCCATTACCAAACACATTCTTACAGTTAATAGTCGCAGCCAAAAGCCGGCTTGTGTCTCACTGCATGAGTGTGTCTAATAGCTGCTTTCTTTCTCTACAACAAACAATAAAAAGTGCAACAGTTCGTACAGTGGAACGCTGTCTCTGCTTGCCGTCACTAAAGCTGTCGAACTGGATTCTTCACAGGCCGGGACAGGGACAGCAGAGGAGGGGAGAGGAGGCAGAGGGGTGAGCGGGGGTTGTGCAACACGCCACTGGGAGAGTGTATGTCAAGTTCACCATAAGTTAAGTTACTCAACTTTCTAGGACGTGACAACTTTATGGCAGCAACAAAGGCAGCAGAGGGAAGATAGTGGAGAGGTCAATTCGGCGTACAGGACGAGACAAAACTGCAGCAGCTGGGACTCTTTGGAGAGCGCAGGAAATAGAAGTGGAGGTGAAGATTTATGACAAGATGAGGGACAGTGACGTCAACTCTTCCAGGAGACAGGAGGTATGTGAACGTGCTGTGGCCTCTATCCGCCTCGGGCTTTAGCTGCTGGATTAGACCAGGCTACTATTTTCCTTTTCTTTTATTACATTCATTCCTCCCGGTGCGGATTGATGGACGAGCAAACCTGCTAATATAAGTTGGTATTACTATCCCCGCATTTGAGATATTGAAATTCAGATTCAGTGTTCAATCATATTAATTCCTGGCTTTGTTTAGGATTCTATACTTTTTCATTTTCTTCCTCCGCACAGAGAAAACATTCAAAAGATTCTGAACAGGGCCTCAGCATAACGTCACTTTACATCTGTAGATCAGTTCACTTCGTCTGCACCAAGTTAAGGAAAAAATATACATGAAAGTTTTTAGGACCTGGTCTGGGTTGTGCTCACACTGGCTTCTTACATGAAGTCATCTGACACGTAACTCATCTCTTGGACAGTTGTGTGATTTCATCCTACATCATCAGAACTACATACATACACCCTCACGAGGAAATTAGATTCTGGTGACTGGCAGAAGGTCATGCTGCACTGAGCTGAATTTTGGCTTTACAAATAAATAATCAATATTATTAGTCCTGACTACAACTTGGCCTTATTT